CCTGCTTCCCCCACCCCCTGCTCTACAGCACCCTGAAACTATCAAATTAAAACTGGCTGGGGTATCCCTCCCTCCCCAAACTAAAGCATCTTAAACCACGATTCCTGTAGGCAGTGGTTACTTTCTTATTCCCTTTGCAAAAAGGGTATCTCGGAAGCATAATGGTTTTGTTTCCACAATAATTACTATCTTCTGAAAGATTCTGTCAAGTATCTTTCCTCTCCTCCCCTCAAAATGGAAAATAAATAAAGAATCATCTGTCAGGAGAAGGAAGCAGCAATAATTGTCTGAGCAGCCCTGGGACACGGGGAGGACAGGAACTGCCAATCTGCCTTGTGTTGTCTTTACCAGAAATATTTTTTCCATATGCTGTAATGTTAAGAGTATGAGATGCATCAACTGACTTGTGAAAATGAGAGGAAAGGATTTGGAGAGTGTCTGCTTTGTGGTTTTTTTGGTTCGTCTTGGACTGAGGGATTATTCCTTGCACCAAAACTGGCATTTCATGGTCATTTAGGAGAAATAAAATCTTCTTCCCATAGTTCTCTGGGTTGAGGGGGGAAGGGAGGAAAAAAAGTATTAAAAGACAAACTCAATAGTATCAGGAATCCTATCCATGTGTAACTTTTTGGTCTCTTGACAGTTTTACTGAGCCAGATGCTAAGTATAAACTGCAATTATAATATATGGCTCATGCTCAAATGTCAAGGTACTATTTTGGGCTCAGTTTTTGAAATAAAATAAATTCAGTCACAGTAGTTAATGAGGAGAGAGGAGCCGTCTCTTCCGGGAGAATAAGAAGTAGGAGAACATCTTTCATTTTATTGGATGTGGACCTGTCTCAGCAGGCTTTCACATGCGTCCTCTCTCCTCACCCCTAGGGGAAGACCCCTGGCATTTTAACTCCCTGATGCCCCCCCACATCACAACTTGGCTGTTCCTGTGCTTCAAGTAATTCGTCACTTCCAGTACTTGCAGGCAGGCAGTGTAAAAACGTTGATGAGCAATTATAGTCATGTCAGCAGTGACAATGGGTTTCTTCCTGTTCCTGATGTATAGCTGCTCTCGTGTTTCTGAATAGAATAAATCTCTATATTTAGTTGGCTTTCATTTTGTTTGACAAGAGAGTGTTTTGAAAGAAAGTG